CGTCTCCAGCCATTATTAAACTCAATTATAGTGCAAACCCATTGAACATATAACAGATATGGTGCAGTTGATATATTACTAAACACTTTCACTCAAATATGATGATGAGGAACCCACTTTGAGACTAATAATGCTTCGAGATGGCTTGAATGGGTAATGAAGAAAAACTTTAATATCAGTTTAATATGACTTTCACTCAGGAGTTCTTATAATAGCTTCAACTCTAAAATCTTAATATACTTATCATTCTCTTAGCAAAAATTATCTAGTTCAAGATAGAAATTCATGTAGTATGTATTTTTATTACTGGTGCTTTTGTCTGTAACATGTAAAATATGTGCTTTAGATTAAACAGTATCATTAAGAACATTTACAACATCCCTTAAAATATGGGATTCCCATGCTCTTGGCAAAACAGTGCTTGTGTTCTTAGTTAAGCATTAATAAGACTTAGTGTATAGCACATTATGAGGCTAGTTCATGTGTTAATATCAAAAGTATTATGATTTTGAAAGTGCTTATGTCAAAAAGGTGCTTCATAAATTTAAATGAATTTTTTAAGCTTTGTTATATTTTAGACATAATTTATGATCATTATTATAAAAAGGTATATTTTCTTCTGAATAACCTAACACTTGCTTTAGATGTGTAAGTGTTTTTCTGCTGAAACCGAAACCAGTAAAAACATTGATGATTGTTCTACATTTGGATTATTCTTTTCATTGTTTTTCCGTGCAATTGTATGTTTTTTATTTTTTAAATAGAGTATAGTGAAGTGATAGGTGTATGTTAACATGTTTTATATTCATTCATTGGAAGGTGTACAAGTAATAGATACAAGGTAAATTTGTCTTGTGTTCATTTGCTGGAAGAAGGACATGTGCAATTGCAGCTTAATTGAAACTCAAGAGAGTTTATCTTCTTTGTCAACCAGTTTGTTTCTATCTAGGTGATTTCTGACACTTCACAGACCTAAGTGGTGAACAAATCTCGTGCTGCGAAATCTGAACAATCTACATAAAATGCAATACCAAGTTCCCAGTAATCTCATGCGACCAAGCACAGGAGTTATTTCACGGGTTGATTTTCTACACTTCCAACAAACTTTAAGCTCTTCTACAGCAGGTTCTTATAATTAAACACATTTTGGTTTCTTGTACAGGTTTTGACTTGCTTAAGGGGTATCTAGATACTTTTGTAAGTAACTAGTGTTCCTAGCATTATTTCTGTACAAAAGCATTTTGGAGCTAGATAATGCTAGTTCTGGATTCACCTGTATGGCTACCATCTGCAATCTCCAGATATTCGAACATTTAGCTTTTGTATGCAGTCATCAGACTTCTACTTATTTACCTAATGATGTAGTTATTTCCAGAAATAAAAAATATCTTTCATATTTTTGAAATCATATGGTTTTACCTCACAGATACAAGCCCTAACACCTGCATTCAGCCATTTTATCAACCACTGGAGCCACGAAGAGCTAGGTGTTTTAGACCAGATGTCATGGAACCAGAGGAGAGAGAAGTTTTTCCAGAATATGCAAGGTATGAGTTGGCTCAGTACCTTAAATTTATATGAAATATTATGATAGAAATAGTGAAATCTCCCATTTACCCTGATTCAGACTGATAGTTCTTGAAAGTCTTGCAGTGATTGCTATATTCTGTTACCACCTAATTGATTAGGCTGTTTTTTTGGGTGTTTATAATTTGCAACTTTTTCAGCAGCTTTCATTGGAAACCTTTGGTAAGCCATAGATAATGAGTCAAAGAAAGGTATCATGAGGAAAGTGTTATCTTAGTGATAATGTTTGTCAAGTTTTCAAATACTCCATTACTTTAAATGTCTCATGCACATGTGTTTAATATATTCTACTCTCTTTTTCAAAAACTGTGTGAAGACTCACAACCATTACACATAATGTTGTAAGAACCCATTGACCTGATTATTTTATCAATAACTGTGTATCTGTTGTTGTTGTTTTTTTATCTCTTCTGTTTTCAGATTTGATGTGATTTTACATTATAATGGTTTCCAAAGCTTGTTAAGTTATGGGTTTCTCTAAGTGCTTGTGAACATTTTTTAATGAAAACAAGTGACCATTTATGTTTCATGTAATGTAAATTTCTGTCAGTTTATGCCTGTATGATTTTATTTTAACAATGTTAATCTGTTAATATACTTTCAAAATACCTTTTTTTTCTGTTTTAATTTGTCTTATATTGTTTGTACTTGGCTAACAAGGAGCACTACTAGTACAGAGAAAAAAAAACAGTTCAACAGTCAAGGTTTAGATATTTTATTAGTACGTTGTAAAAATCTTTGACTACATTATCAAGTTTTATTTTATTAATTATTGTTTAATTTTTAGTGTGTGTATTTTATTTTCTTGAGAGACTTTGATATTTTAGTTTTTATTTATGTTTATATAGAATTTTTCAATTTAGTTTCTGGTGTTTTAAATAAAATACCTAATACTTAGAGGTTACACTGAATTTACAGCTTTATGCATTGTTCCAAAATAATCTCTAGCACAAAATTACATGTAAGTATAAAATTGAAAAAGTATATAAACAGAAGATATGAGAATTAATTGAAGTGAGCTATAAACAGTAGGTACAGAAAAAACTAAGAACATCCAATAGTAACAGTGATTTTAGTCATCATAATCATTATGTCTTTATCTTCTGTGCTTACTGGAATTTCTAATTAGCACATTACAAAAGAGGATCATTTAGGTACTAAATATTTTATTTTGGGAACAATACATAAGAAATAATCAGAGCAAATGATTCTAAAATAGAATGACTTAAAAAAATAAAAACAAGACTGTCCCGGGACTAAATACCTCTGGACCTCTAATAAAGATAGCCTCCACCCCCCCCCCACCCCCAATTAAAATATGAAATGGGGCTCCAGCTTTATAATAACTTGCCTTGATTGTTATTTTGATGAGAAAAAACGTGCTTTATTGAAGTATATATACTTTGTTTAATTTTGCATATTTAAACATATTTCTTTTGTTTTTATGTCCACAGAGAACCAGTTATGTACTTAGGAATCCGAAACTTAATTGTAGCTTTGTGGTACCTGGATCCTAAGGTTTGTATAATATTGTTTGTTTACTTCTATATTATTGTGTTATGCAGGTATCATATGGTACATGAATAAGTTTTATTTCTATAATCTTTCAAAGTCTTCATACTTTTTTTCTTTACTTAGTTACAAGTTCTAGGTGAACAAGATATACCCAGTCTTTTAACTACACTAATCTTGCTCTTAGGGATGTCACACGTGATTAAAGTTTTGTCCAAGAGTTGCCTATTTCCACAACTTGCTTACTTTCTGGCTCATTAAAGCTGGTCTTAGTGAGTTTTCTAGCACGGTGGCTGCATTTAGAAGAAGAAAAAAAAGTTAAAACTATGGTTTTCTTTTACATTATAGGGTTTGCCTAATAACTGGTGACTTGACCTTCTGAGAAGTCCTAATGCAACTGAGAATTTAATATAATTTTAAACAAACACAGTTTTGGATTTTAAAAAAACAAGGAAACCTTCGAGCACATTTTGTAAAGATGTCTCATAATTTGACTTGTCCTTATTCTGTGTATATCATTTCTTAATAGTAGAATAATCTGGTTTGTAATAGAGAGAAATTCAGTACCATTTATCACAACTTTCAGTCTAAACAACTTATTTACACTTCACACTATGGTTCTTATAAGCCTTCTATTTACTAGGTTTAATGACTTATCTGTTGATTTTAAGTGTACTTAGAATGCCAAATTATTACTATGTGAAGCTTATGGCATTTAGCTACCTGTGGTACATATATCAATGGTGTATTTCTGAAGTATTTTGATTCATATTCCATCAAGTACTCATCTCAGTGATAACATTACGTAAGAAATTTGACTTTAATTCTTGTTGGAAATCGTTTAATATGCATGTAACCTGAAAATTAATGATAAAAATTCCCAGTTAAAAAAAAGTACTTATGATAAAAAAAAATCTATTGTAAATCTGGCAGTTTTTAATATTTTGTTACTTGACTGATTACCAGGTTTAACTTAATTTTAGTATCTATGAATTCCCCCCACCCCTCTCTATTTTTGAGAAATCAACTTAAATTCCTTTATTTACTTTATCAAAACTCAATGCTCAAATGAATTCAAAATTAAATGAACTTACAAAGAAACCTGTAATAAGTAACATGTTCTTGAATTTGTAGTTGTTCTGAGCTCTCATGACAAATATCATAGGCAAGATCAAATAACTGTCGGTGTGTGTGTGTGTAGTGGCCTCGTATAGTTGATGTACAGTTTATTAAAAATAGTTATATAAACATACAGGTGATACACATACTGGAGTTGCAAATAATGAGTAATTGCAATGAAATGGTCAGTGTATCATAGCACAATCAGTTGTTACAGAAAATACCAGAGAAAAGGAAACAAGTGGTACAGCACACTAGTATATTAAAGGTTTGGAGACGGCTTGAATGGATAATGAAGAAAACTATTATAAATGTGCCTTATGATGATATAACCTCAATGAAATGTTGTACATTTATAATAGTTTTCTTCATTACCAATTCAAGCCATCTCCAAACTTTCATTTTCTGAAAAGTGTGTTCCTTGTCATCAAATTAATATATTGTATTTGCTTTAAACAGAGCAGTACACCTTGTTTTTATGTTACCACAAGTTTATCAGGTTGTTTGATTGGTGTTTGGCCTTCTCAATTTCCATGTAAGTCCATATAATATTTTAATATTCACATCAGCACTTTATCTTTCTGGAAGACTAATCCTCCCAACAGATCTTGTCCTTGAGGTAAAGATATGATGGACTGGTACCCCAGTCATGCTTCACTGTAGATATTGTACATTTCCTGTGATACTGGTTTCCTCTCTGTAATTCAACAAACTATCAGTGATTGTTGCCAAACAGTTTACATTTGAGTTCATTTATATAGAAAATGCTCCTCCAACTTTGCTTATTCCATTAGTTGAAGTCTAATTCCTATTTCACCCTTTTGGTTTAGTAATCTCTCTTAAGCAGTGGTTTTTGAGCAGCTATACATCACTTGAAGTCGCTTTGCGCTAATATGTATCTTGGTGTTTGGAGAGTAACATTCACACTTGTACTTACATGTAGCTTATTGGTAAAATCTCTACTGGATTGACATGAATAATATAAAGAGCATACTATAAGTTACTTAACATCACTGTTGAGCTTTCTATCTCAACCACTGTTATTATCACATATCCTCTTTAGAATTTTCATACAGCTCCTACCAAATCATGAAATTTTTCCTCAATTTGTTGCATAGCGTAAGTTTTGCCAGCTAAAACTTTCACTTCTCTATATTCTTCATGTGGCATTTCTGTCCTGGGAACCATTCTTGGAATAGTTTGGCTGCCTGTATTTTGATATTCATTATATTGGTGTGGTACTGTCTGATTAGTTGGATGAAAAAGATTCAAAGTGTAAACTATGAACATATGATTGTAATATAGTTCATTTTCATACAGTACCATAATATTTTTTGTATTTTTATACCCATTTTATCCATTCATTTCATAATTAATTCCAGTACTGTAGGTCTGAGATTATTATGTTTTTAAACACCAAAGTTTTCACAAAATACATAATTAGACCAAATAACCATTACCTTCTGAAAACAATAGGTTTAGAGAGTTTATTTCGGGTATAACAAATCAAAAATTTGGTTTTTAAAATTTTCCTATATTTGAGCTGTTTGTGTAGCTAATACAGTTGAAACCTGTGTGAACAAAGAACATCAAATTACAATGTTGCTATTTTCTATGCTATTTTATATTGGTACGCTTGAAATTGATACAAAAAATTTTACTAACTTTAGACACCAAGATCTTTCTTCTTTCAAATCATTATGAATTATAAGATAGAACATTCAAGGTTAAAAAATTTTACCCTAATAGTACTTTCAGAGTAATAGGTTTCAGAGACTGCTATATTTCAGGTAAGAAGAGAATAATAAATTTTTATTTACCTAATTTTTTGTTTTGATATAGAAATTTGACTTGATCATACTGGCATTAACCTAATAAAATGGCTAAACAGCTGAAACATTTTATTCATTATTCATCATTTTCTGGCACTTAGCTGTGTAATGGTTTGTGATAACAACAAAAAGATGTGTGAAAGCAACCAAAGATGTGCCTCAAATGAACAATGTTTTTGATAACATTTAAGGTTAATATTATAAAAGAATAGTAGCATTTAAACCTTAATCTACTTACTGTTAGCAGTTCTTTGACCTACTCCTTTTTTTAAACTCTTTAACAAACCCCTTTTTTAAGTTCATCATTTTTAGGGTTAAATTATCCTGTAAAATATTTCCACCTAGTAATACATGTACTTACAGTGCTTTAATATATTTTTTCACTGTCATATAGTTTTAATTTACTGCTGAAGTTACAAAAAGAATCTAATCCCTTGAGATTCTAAGTAGAACTTTCCTTAGTTAAAATATTTTATCTCCTCAGAAATTTCTTGTAACTACAAGAAAACTTTAGTGAGAAAACTGCAGTAACAACGCTTATTAATATGAATTAAATCCTCTTTACTAAAACAGGTTAATCAAAAGTAGTTAAACCAGAGTAGTTACCCAAAATGGATGATAGATCACTCCTTTTTAATTATTTATCTGGCAGAAATTCTTCTAAAAATGTTTTTTTATTGTGAATTTTTTATTTTTTCCCCATATATTTTTTGATGATTCTAACTTTTTACTCCTTAACCTAGCTTGAGAGTTTACTGAGATTTACAGCATCAATATTTTTATAACTAAAACACAATGTACCTGTAATTTGATTTGAGATCTTGGAAATAATTCTTACTAATGAGAAAAAAAAATTATATTTATTGTTCTGTTTTTGTTTCTCTTTGCATGGGAAAACCTTTTTGGTGCTGTAGTCTGTTAACATTGTTTAAACAGAAGAAAGATGTTTTTTATACAAGGAAAGTCGAGATTTAAACATACCTTTATGCATGTCAATTGAAAAAACATTATATGACACTAGTTATGGTGTTCTTTTTCAAAATTTGAATTGTAATTGTATGTTTTTTGACTATTTGATAATGCATAAAGGTACATTTTTTAATTGTTTAAAAATGATTTTGTTTCCTTTTTTCTAGGAGTGGCTCGTACTAGATAGGGTCATAGAGAACCTTATGTGTCGAGGCTTAGTACGTGTTCGCTGTGTTTATGATTCCCGTCGAATACTAAAATATCTTACCCTCAAGGGTTTAATAAATTTTGGTATTATTCAATCACCATCTTCATTCACTCTCCTACCAGCAGAGTGTCAGGTAAATGCTTTTGGTGCAAACTACTTTGTAGTTCTATATCTTTGTCATCTCGCTTTTATATTTTGTACTTTTTATATATTAATAGATTTAGGTTGTAGGTAAGCTTTATGTTTTTTGACATTTTAAGACTTACTGTACTTAAATATAACTTTTTTTTAATTAGGTTGAAAAATAATGCTAAAACAACTAAACTCTTTGGTTAGATTTTTTACCACACACTTTGTGCTCTAATTGACTTTGTTTCCGTTTTCATTAATGATTTGGTTTGTCTTGTAAAATGCAGGCTTAATACCCTTAATGAAACAAAATTAAAACAATATTGTTTTTGATATTTTGAAGCAGTTTGGTACTTCTATTTTGATAAAAGTATCATGATGCATTGTATTCTGATATAGGTTATTTCAGAAGCACAAATTTATGTACTTGATGTAAATAAAATAGTGTGAGCAGTAATTTATAGAGACTAGATGAAGCTACTGCAAGAAGGAACAGTGGGATCTAATGGGAAGTTTAGAAGATTTAGGAACAAACCATTCCTGAAAATCTTTTTATGTTACATTGTATCTCTTTGAAAACTGCTGAAATTTTCATCTTAGTTTAATAGAATTAGTGAGTAACTGGCAACGCTTTTAGATGGTATTTACAGTTTGTTCAGTACATCTGGTCATTACATTAAAAGATTATAATATTATTTATACATTATGATAAAATAAACTCTCTTTCTTTTTCTGTGAAATCCAGTCTTTTTTAAAGTAATTTTGAATTACATCTTAGAATATCTCTGAAGAAGTGAAAACTGAGACCAAGCCAGATTCAGACATGCTTTTTGTGTTTAATGTAATTTAAGCAGAAATCTTGAGCTATGCCATTTTTAGTGGAATTTAAGCAGGATTCTTGAGCTATATCATTTTAGTAGAATTTAAGCAGAAATCTTGAGCTATATCATTTTTGTAGAATTTATGCAGAATTCTTGAGCTATATCATTTTTGTAGAATTTAAGCAGGATTCTTGAGCTATATCGTTTTACTTGAGTTTAGGCACAATTCTTGAGCTATGTCATTTTAGTAGAATTTAAGCAGAAATCTTGAGCTATATCATTTTAGTAGAATTTAAGCAGAAATCTTGAGCTATATCATTTTTGTAGAATTTAAGCAGAATTCTTGAGCTATATCACTTTGTAGAATTTAAGCAGGATTCTTGAGCTATATCATTTTTGTAGAATTTAAGCAGGATTCTTGAGCTATATCGTTTCACTTGAGTTCAGGCACAATTCTTGAGCCATATCATTTTAGTAGAATTTAAGCAGAAATCTTGAGCTATATCATTTTTGTAGAATTTAAGCAGAATTCTTGAGCTATATCGCTTTTGTAGAATTTAAGCAGGATTCTTGAGCTATATCACTTTTGTAGAATTTAAGCAGGATTCTTGAGCTATATCATTTTTGTAGAATTTAAGCAGGATTCTTGAGCTATATCATTTTACTTGAGTTTAGGCACAATTCTTGAGCTATGTCATTTGGATCAACAGCCTATCAAAATTCCATTCTTTCTATCTAATAAACTGAAAAATCTAGATTTGTGATTTCCAACAGATGCAGCAGCTTATTTTGCTAAGTGTATACATGGTAAACAGCATCATGGGTTTAAATCCCACCCGGTGTTAAATTTCACTTCTTCAGAAGTACCCTAACATTACAGCTTAGTGTGCCATTTTGTTAAATTGGGTGTTCTTTTCTTACATTCTTGTATTTTAGGAATCAGTAATAATAATTGGAGCTGGTGCTGCAGGAATAAGTGCTTCCAGACACTTGAAGAATCTTGGTGTCAAGGTAAGGCTAAAGATCGACTTTCAGAAACTGGATTTTATTTATAGTTAATGAATCTTCTTCATATTATTGATGTAATTGATATTATCATATTGGAGGTATTGGTAGAAGCATTTTATCACTAATATTAAAAAAGAAACTTGCACATTCAAAACTTTTTTCTTACCTGCATGGAGGACAGAAAATTATGCCAGATTCCTTAGCGGATATAATGAGTTATTTCTAGATAACAAGTGTTTTTACTGTTAGTATTGATAGTACTTTATATATATATTTTTTTCACTAATGTTAAACATTATTTTTTATGTTTAAACAATTCATGTATATTTTTTAATAATTTTTAGGTCATGGTTTTAGAAGCAAGAAATAGGATTGGTGGTCGAGTGTGGGATGAGTCTTTTCTTGGTGTCTGCGTTGGAAAAGGTGCTCAGATCATCACGGGGGTTATCAATAACCCTCTAACAATCTTGAGCCAACAGGTAGCTGTTTCTTTACTTTTGGGTACACAATGTCTGTTTCTTTTTGTATATTACATGGGCATGCTGCAATAGCATGGCAGAATTTTGAGGCTGTCAGTGTGGTATAAGAGTGACAGTCAAATCCCACTATTCAGTCAGGCAAGAGTTGGTAGTGGTTCTGTGTACTTCAGTAAGGAAACTCATTATGCTAATATAGTATTGAATTAAAAAACTATGATCTAATCATTTACAAAGTGTGGACACAAGGCATTGTCAAAACATAATATGTTTTCTAACGTAAATATCATTGCACTTACAAATCATTGTTTGTTAACTTACTGCTACTTGGCAGTAGCTGCTCTTGCTTATATGCCTTTCCTCTCTAGTCTAACATTTAGAAATTAAGGACACCTATGCACAAATAATCCTTTGTGCAAAAATTCTGAACAAACAAACACATGGGTCAAGAAAATTCAAAGCTATGAAGGTTTTTAGTTGTTCTGATAAAGCGTTAATCATTGTTAACTTATAGAAAGTATATCACCTATATCTATCTACTGTCTTTTTTTTTTTCGTTAAAAATATTCTGTTAATGTTAAATTTCACTTCATTGAGGCTATCATATTGACAAAAGTAATCATTACTTATTCTATTTTCCTCAGGCTGCAATGGCAATGAGGATAGTTGGGGAAAAATGTGAGCTATTTGCTGAAGATGGCACTGTCACACCATCTAGTGTGGACCAACGAGTGGAATTTCATTTTAACGCTGTACTAGATGCTGTAGCAAGCTGGAGGAAAGATCAAACACATGATACTAATTTATATGGTTTGTCTTTAATAGTTTTTTTAGCTCGCAGGTGTTAGTTTTAAAATCAAAGAGTAAATGTATGTGAAAGCTTCTCAGAAATATCACAAACAAACTGAAATGCCATGAAGCCCTAATCTTAATTACTCATTTTTATTCTTATATATACATTTAGTTATAGTATCATAATAAGCAGTTAAAATTAATTGCCAGTAATAAATGTTATTTTTAATACTTAATGATTATTATATAGCAGTAAAAGTGGCCTGTAATCAGGATTTGAATTTCGGTCAAACTGTCGGCTGAGAATAAATAGTGCATGTATATTCAGAAGGTGAGAACTACATTCACCTCATGTTCAGCCTTATCATGATTTTGGTTATGTACTAAGCTTAGTGTACAGAATCAGATGCATCACACTCTATGTTTTAACATTAAATTTCTTTGGGCAGACATCATTAGCTGACTTTCATGATATTAGCCATTATTAAATGTATTTTTATATGTAGAATGGCTACTAGTAGATAGGTTTCTTTACCTTAGGACTTTGTAGTCTACTCTATCCGTTTGTACATTAAAGTTTTAATCCAGTATCTGCTGAGAGGCAATATGTGTGTGTAGCACTATTCAGTACTCATTACATCAAAAACAGATCTTGTTTATAAACATTGATTTTTATAAATAAAATAATTAAGATAGATAAATGATAATTAATATAGTTAACTACTTTGTTTTGTTTTTCACAAAAACGTAATGTATTTTAAGTTACGCCACTGATGAAACATTATAGTGCTGTTGTGTTATTATGTGTTAATATACTCTTTGTTTTCAGTAAACATGAAAAATATTTCAAACAATAAAGGAAAAATACTGTGTTATGTAAATAAAGAATGTAGCAATGCTACTTCAAGGATAGTGATGATGTAGCTTGTTTGTCCCTTTAGAAATTGTTCATGCTAATCTGTACGTTCATGGAGTTTTTTTTTTGCCTCACCTTTCAGATAAGATTATGGAGATGCACAAGAATTTTATGGAAGAAACAAAAATGAAGTTTTCTGAAGTAAGTTAATGATGTTGGGTAAAAGCTCTTGTAGCTATTAAAATTATAATTTAGTTAATTGTTATTTCTGTATTTATTTACTTTGCTGTTTTTGTCAAGCATATGCTCGTTATATAACAGCATCAACGAGTTTTCAGTTTCTGTGATGTGATGATTAAAATAAAACATTCTATCTACTATTACCCGAACTATTTTTGTACCTTACAAACAAATGATGCAGAGTTAAGTGCTGAGTCACTTCATTTCTATTGACGTGGGACAAAAATAGACTGTATTTGGTAGGATAATTTTCGTATACCATGTATTAATGACTCCTGAAAGATGTTTGTAGTCAAAGTAGTTGGGTAAAAAGAGCTTTGTTCTGCTGTGGGAATTGTGTTTATCATTGTTTTGAGTATGCTTCTGGTTGAAATGTAATAATAAAAATTATGCTGTGGTCCAAACAGGTTTTAAATTGTAACAGCACTAATAATCATGAGCAGGTAATTTTATTTTCAGTTTATTAGGGAAAATAAGATCTTTTCCTGTTCCAAAGAATTTTCATGGTGATACATTATTCAATAAAAGTAAATGTACATCTTTGAACTTACAGGAAGAGGAGAATTTAATACACTTCCACATCAGTAATCTTGAGTATGCTTGTGGATCAGCACTTAATACAGTTTCCACTCTTTCCTGGGATCAAAATGAAACTTACCCCCAGTTCACTGGCCACCACACACTATTGCTCCGTGGATACAGCTTATTACTTGAACAACTGGCTGAAGGTCTTGATATTCAACTGGGACAAGAGGTGAGGAGAATCTGTTGAATATGCAAAGAAGACTACACAAGTAGTATGGTTATCGATGGTACTGTAATGAGGAGTTACGTTAGATTGATGAAATAATATTTGCTTGTTGGTAACAATGTTAACATATTGCTGTCGTAGCAGAGTACATGCATTACCTGTGTCTTTGTCTGAGAGACACCATTGACTTATAATTCAAACCTACTTTTAGAACTTTGTATTTTGTCTCAGCAAATTAATTGTATTTACTCATTTCTCTGGTATTTGATTTAAATTACAATGTATGGTGTACTAACTTTTGCACATTACACCAAACTGTATTTTAAGAAATTGAAAGAAAATGCGTGTTGCTGAGGCCCACTAAACAGCTAATGTGGTAGTAACAATATATTAGCCAATAAAACATGTCATTTGGATAAATTTAGCATTATTGACCAATTATAGATGAGACTACCCTATTGGTTTAGTAATGATTTAGTGATAATTAACATCTAATGTTGTTGTCATTTATTGGTTCATATGAAGAATATTTCATAATTGTTGATATTCTTTGAGTCATGATATGTCTGCTTTTAAACAGTATGATGGAAGATATGTGGGATGGACGAAAAGCAGATCAAATACATTCCACTTCTGAGTACCATCAGAATTTCACCCCTTAGCATTACTCACATCAATAATTATTTTTTGGTGAATCTGTTAGTACTGCAACATCAAGTAATTAATCACAGTAGATTCACAAGCATTTGTTTCAGAATCAGTATGCTGTATTTAACATGAAAATTAAAACTGTTTAGTCTTCAGTCTTTTTAATTAAACTAACAGTTATTATTTTTAGAATTTTATTTAAAGATAATTACATCATCACATCAATTTTTTTCCTACTTCTAAAGCATGTCTAAAATGTATGGGATAGAAGGTCAATCTAGGAGTCCAGAGGTGACTGCATAACAATGTAATATTAACTTCAAGAACACATATTCTAAAGAATTGTTGTCATAACAGAATAGTCTTAAATGTGTTGTCAAGAGCTTTGCAAAAACTGAAACATATCTACTGCCCAACTGTGCATTAATCATTTTTTTGTAATATGTCCAGACTACTTGAAGAGCAGAATAAATAGTGTTTATTAATAGCTATATAAGAATTCATCAAACAGACAAAAGTTTATGTTAACCTTATTCATTCTAAAGCATTCATGATATGAAAGTTTATATCTAAATATTCATACTGGAAACCCAGCTTTATTGTCTCCATTGGGTCTTATGCAAAATAATGACAGCATTCTGTGTTTATAGAACTAATACTCTGGATGGATAGTTAGAGGTTTGTTTTTTATTTTTATAATATTTTTCGTCTGTGGAATTTTGCCATTTACAATGAACATTTCATTTCAAGGTGAAGGAAATTAATTATTCTGGAGACAAAGTCATCATCAGATGTCAAGATGGAGAAGAATGGAAGGCTTCGAAAGTAAGTATTATCATTTGTAAGTTATTTTAAATTGTTGATCAAGGAGCAAAACTTTAATAAAAATATGTACCTCATTTAGTTCATGAAGGTTTTGTGACACTTATACCATACGCTGTATTAAAATGGTCAAATTCTCTAGAATAATCAATGTTGCAGTTATAGAAAAATCGTTATAAGCATACTGAATGTGGAAAGTGAAGAAACTTTATCAATAAATCTTGCATCTCTACTAATTACCAAACATATTATCTTTTTCCTATAAACCAATTTCGAGATATTTTGTTTAGTGGTAAAAGTAATTTTTCTTTAAACATTTCTTTGTAACTACTCAAGCTTGTCATTTTACAGGCTCTCAGATATTGGGGATCTAAAGCATGCTGTTTGCCCAACATTGTATCAAACAATGATTACATATAAAAAAGGGGTGAACAATTAGGATATAACTTCCTCACCAGCAAACATCAACCATGTCCAAACATTATTTTACAATTATGTGCTGCAACACTGTGCTGTAATAAAATATTTAATTATAAAATTTTTGTATTCCATCTTCTTTTTTTAAATATGATGTCTAGCAGCATATACTTGAATTTAAAAATTCCTATAATTAATTGCTGGATGTCGAAGGTCATTTTTAAATATAAAAAAAATTTTCATACATTGTTTTTTTACTACAAAGGAGACATACATTTTTAAAATTTAAAGCTTTAGGTTTAAATAACAAATCTACTAAATACAGCATTTAACCCATTTGAGATGGGTCACGAGTGAAAGGCTATGTCATATTGTTTGTTGACTCGCATTCAAAATTTAATTGAACTAT